GAAACAATCCAGTGGAAGAAGCGTTTACTTGAGAATCAAACTATCCCTTTTTATCTAATTTAGATAAAAAGACATGGAAATGAAATACGATAGAGATTTTTCCAATGCAAGAAATGTAGAATTATATAAAATACAATATCAGGATGGATTTGATTTAAATTGAGTTGATTTAAATCACAATTTAAATCATGATTTAAGGCTTGATTTAAATCAACTCGATTTAAATCATAATTTTTAAAGAGCAACGGTCATCTCTGCTACTCCTTTGACCCACTGTTGACTCACCGATAGTCCCAGTGTTGCAGAATATACAGCCTCATGCTACATATCTAAGCTCCATTTCATGCTGAATAACCTAAATTATTTATGTATCTTAAATAGAAAACTATCTTACGATAGATTTTTACCCCAAAAGTTTTTTATTAAAATAAATTCAATACAAATCAAAAAAATCCAATTTAAATAAAAAAAATCTGATTTTTTTGATTTTTTTTAAAAAAATCATTGATTTTTATCCACCCTGCACAATATAAAGATGTACTGTTATTGGAATGATTTAGGAGAATGAAGGGCATAATACAAATTAATTTAAATCTTAGATTATTTTGTATGAAATGAGGGAAGAAACAGCCATAGTTAAACATATGATTAATGAGGCTAATAATACATGGATATATATGAATAGAGTGAAGATGCACAAAAGACTTGGAACCAACCGACACACTGTTTGTATTTACATTGAAGATGGTTTTTTATTTGTTTTTTAAATATTTGTTTAAAAATATTTTTTTGTCAAAAAAAAAGAAAAAAAAGAATCAAACTATCCCAAAGATTCTTTTCCCCCTCCCTAAAAGGCAACTGGAGTTTCTTGGGTTTGTTTTTTTTCTTTGCAAAAAATTTCACTTCTTCTCATCCAAGATGCTTCTACAATTCTGAAAAACTAAACTGAAGAAGTTTCTGGGATGAGAAGTGAAATGTTTTCAAAGAAAAAAAACAAGTCCAATTGCCTTCTAGAAAAAAAAAAACACCTTTGGGGCAACCTGGATGATTGAGAATCTCCATAGACATTGAGAATCAAATTAGTTGAAACAGCAGAGCAAACTATGATCTCTTTATCCCAGGTGGAAAAATCCCTAGTTTGGGGTATGGCCTACACCAGGTGCCTCCAACCTTGGCAACTTTTTAAGACTTGTGAACTTCAACTCCAGAGCTGGCTGAGGAATTCTGGGAGTTGAAGTTCACAAGTTTTAAACTTGCCAAGGTTGGAGACACCTGGCCTACAGTGTTCCCTTCTCTTTGCTGATTTTCCTTGCTTTGTTTTGATCCATATAAGCCACTCTGCCGACTGGGGTGGGGGGTTCTAGGAAAGATTTCCGCAGGTCTGGTTTATCTCTACAAAAGACACCCACATGTTACCACTGCAAATGGGGTTACACAAATATGCTTGGATTAACTGGAGTAATTTATTCCTTACAATTCAAGCATGAAGCCAGACAGGACAAATCTGTTTTCTCCCCTGAAATGTGCTGATTTCAGGAGTTTGTAGAAGCAGCTGTTTCTTCAGCTTGCTGACAGATTTCAAAGGCTTGGATTTCCAGGTATGAAATTGCATGGAGAAATAAATCACACTCAGGAGCCGAAGAAGGGAAAAGCAGAAGTTTCAGTAAATGGATAAATTATTTTATGGTGGCCATTTACCAGCATTAGAGAATTGATACTCAAGTATTCAAAATATCCAAAACTAAATTGACCATAGCAATAGCTCTTAGACAGAGGTGAAATCCAGTAGGTTCTGACAAGTTCTGGAGAACTGGTAGCGGAAATTTTGAGCAGTTTGGAGAACCGGCAAATACCACCTCTGGCTGGCCCCAGAGTGGGGTGGGAATGGAGATTTTGCAATATCCTTTTCCTGGAGTGGGGAGGGAACGGGAATTTTGCAGTATCCTTCCCCTGGAGTGGGGTGGGAATGGGGATTTTGTGGTATCCTTCCCCTGCAACGCCCACAAAGCCACGCCTGCCAAGCTACACCATGCCCACCAAGGCACGTCCACAGAACCGGTAGTAAAAAAATTTGGATTTCACCACTGCTCTTAGATTTATATACTGCTTCCTAGTGCTTTATTTATTTATTTATTTATTTATTTATTTATTTATTTATTTATTTATTTATTTATCGGTTCGAGTTATATGCCGCCCTTCTCCAGAGACTCAGGGCGGCTTACAATGCGTTAAGCAATAGCCTTCATACTTTTGTATATACCTACTTAGTAGGGCTTTTGGCCCCCCCTAAGCGGTGTTCTATTTTATACAAAGGCAGCTTATTGCCCCCACAATCCGGGTCCTCATTTTACCTACCTCGGAAGGATGGAAGGCTGAGTCAACCTTGAGCCTGGTGAGATTTGAACTCGTAGTAATTGCAGGCAGCTGGCAGCTAAGTGCTACTTAACAGCACTTTAGTCTGCTGCTCCACCAAGGCTCCTACACAGCCCTCTCTAAGTGGTTTACAGAGTGAGCCTATTTCCTCCAACAATCTGGGTCCTCATTTTACTGACCTTGGAAGGATTGAAGGCTGGAGTCAACTTTGAACCCGTCAGGATTGAACTCCTGGCAGTGGGCAGAGTTAGCCTGCAAGGCTGCGTATAGCAGGGCCTTTATTTCAATGTCAGGATAGTTATGAATAGTACAACATTTTTTGACAGAAGTAACTAGACTAGATATTTTTATTTAGTTAGTTGTGTCCTGCCTTTATTAGTTTTACAAATAACTCAAGGCAGTGAACGTATCCAACACACCTTCCTCCTCTTATTTTCTCACAGCAGCAACCCCGTTGCTGTTGGTCTGAGAGAGAGGGACTGCCTAAAGTCATCGAGCTGGTTTTCATGGCTAAGGCAGAACTAGAATTCACAGCCTCTCGCTTTCTAGCCTTAACCACTAGGCCAAACTGACTCTCCGTTTGATTAACAGAGACTCAGTGGCTAAGACGCTGAGCTTGTCGATCAGAAAGGTCGGCAGTTCGGCGGTTCAAATCCCTAGTACAGGTCTTCTGAGCAGGGGGTTGGACTGGATGACCTCCAAGGTCCCTTCCAACCCTTCCAAGGCAACCAAAGCATGTCTTATCCAAGGTCTTCCGTTCTACAGGGGCTCATCCCATGATCTGACTCAATCCACTAGACATGTTAGCTGGAGAATTCTGGGAGTTGAAGTCCACCCATCTTAAAGTTGCCAAGAAGAGGAAACTCTGCTCCAGAGAAGTGCTGGATCTTTAAGGCTATACGGGGAAAGGTGGAAAGATCAGGCCTATCCAAATTTTGATGATAATGATGTTCCATAAGGCAAGATCTACAACAGAGAAGGGATATCCCACGGATCCTACAGGTGGCAATGTTTTCTGAAGAGAGATAAAGAATGCCCAGTCTAGGACTGGGGACAGGCAATCTTGCAAGTACAGGTAGTTCTCAACTCACAACCACAACTCACAACCACAACCATGACTGTGGGGATGTTGTGATGGTCATAAGTGCGAGGACCAATTGTAAGTCACTTTTTTCAGTGCTATTGTAACCTTGAATGGTTGCTAAATGAATGGCATAAGTCAAGGACTGCTTGAAATTGTTTCTGTATGTCTTGGATCAAGTCACCTAAAAAGAGAAGAAAGAAGAAGTGCTGGGGATTTGCCAAATAGTAAAGATAAGGATCTTTTCAATCAGAAGATGTTGGTGATGCAAGAATCAAGCCAAAATGAAGTTACTGCGTAATGTACATATCTAGGAAGTTAAGTGCAAGTGCTTTGCAAGCTGGCTAGCCATACTTAGGATACAAAATACAAATAGAGAGTATGAATACAGAGTAACGAGAGTTGGGAGGGACCTTGGAGGTCTTCTAGTCCAACCCCCTGCTTCAAGATAGCGTTCAGAAAGATGGCTATCTAACTTGTCCTAAAACTTCCAGTGATGAAGCATCCACAACTTCTGAAGGCAAGCCATCCCACTGATTAATTGTTCTCATTGATGGGAAATTTCTCCTTAATTCTAGAGGTTGGATTTCTGTCTGGTAAGCTTCCATCCGTTACCTTTCTCCCGTCCTTAGGTGCTTTGGAGAATAGGGTGACCCCCTCTTCTCTGTGTAAAGGTAAAGGTTCCCCTTGCACATATGTGCTAGTCGTTCCCAACTCTAGGGGGCGGTGCTCATCTCCATTTCAAAGCCGAAGAGCCAGCACTGTCCGAAGAAGTCTCTGTGGTCATGTGCCCGGCATGACTAAACGGCAAAGGCGCACGGAACACTGTTACCTTCCCACCAAAGATGGTCCCTGTTTTTCTACTTGCATTTTTTACGGGCTTTCAAACTGCTAGGTTGGCATGTTGCGGGAAACCCGCTTTCTCAAAAGCAGGAGACAAGACCACGAAAGCTGGAGAACACAGGTTTATTTCCTAGCAAAGGTTCAGAGTAATAGTTTGGCAAAGTCTGAACCCTATCTATCTTTTATAGGTTTTGCAATTCTAGTTCTACTGATGCTTTACATTTCCTTATACATATTGAGATACAGTGCATCAAAACAGGATATAAAAAGAAGTAGTTATCTTTCGGTACATATTCCATATAGGGGTATATCTTGCATATTTTACACCATCTGTTAGTTTCGGAACTCCTCACGTGCCAAATATTGTGTTACAGAATAATATGATACATAGGTCATTAAGCATACAAGTACATTTAGCAAGAGGTTGGTACTTTCCTAATCTTGTGACAGAGATAGAAACAACTAAAGGTCAATTTACCTATACTTTGATATCAATTTACTGGTATTTGAGGTCACCTGTCTCAGGCAGAAGCTGGGACAAGTCACGGGAGCTCACCCCGTTACGCAGCACTAGGGATTCGATCCGCTGAACCTCCAACCTTTCGATCGACAAGCTCAACGCCTTAGCCACTGAGCCACCGCGTCCCTTACCTTCTCTGTGACGACTCCTCAAATTTGATCCCCATTGCTTACGTTCTTTCAGCTGGAGAATTACATCCAGGACAATGTGCGGATGGAGATGTCAGAGACCCATTTCAGTTCTGTACAGGATCACACGGCAGCCATGTTGGAAATTGGGACCAACCTCCTTAACCAAACTGCTGAGCAGACCCGGAAACTCACCAATGTAGAGATACAGGTAAGCCAATCTTCTTTCGGTAGCCTTTTCCTGGATTTTATCTCTGGTGATTATTATTTTTTTTTTTTAGAGCAAGGCTATTTCTTGCCAACTTACAGGGCCTGCTTTGCCTATTTCAGCCATAATGGCCCTACCATTGTTTACTGAATACATCAAAGGAGCCTGGATAGCTCTGCAGACAAGGCACTGTAATTTAACACCAGCTGTCTGCAATTAAAATAAGTTCGAATCTTGCCAGGCTCAAGGTTGACTCAGCTTTCCATCCTTTCTAAGGTAGGTAAATTGAGGACCCAGTTTGTGGGGGCAATAAGCTGACTTTGTATAAATATACAAAAAGAATGAAGGCTGTTGCTTAACGCATTGTAAGCTGCCCTGAGTCTCCGGAGAAGGGCGGCATATAAATCAAATTTAAAAATAAAAAAAAAGTCGAGATGACAGCCAGAAGGGAAGATGGTTTCCTAACCACAGTGGCTGCCTTCCAGTAGTGGTATTCACTTACCTTCACTACCGGTTCACAAATGTGAGCACGCCGCCACCTCTGCATATGCGCAGAGCGTCCATGATGACATCAGGGCATGTGGGCAGAGCCTCCTGCCGCTACCAGTTTGCGCGAACAGGTAAAACTGGTAGAATTCCCCCCTCCCTGCTGCCTTTGCACAAGCTATGCCAGAACAAAACTGGGGTTTTATATGATGGCTGGGTTTCTACCACAAGCTTGACTTGGTCCCTGAATTCATGCTTTTCTGGATTTGCACAACTGAACAAATAGCCTAGAACGGTTCTTGTGGCATATGAAACCACCAAAAAAGAACCAAAGTCAAAAACCCACACATGCTATGTTGGCCTGCCACTGATGACAATTTGGAAGCTGCAGATGGGCCCCAATGCAACAGCCCCAATACTGTTTGGTCAGTTGTGCAAATCCAGAAGAACATGAGTAGCTTCTGCAAAAAGTAGAAGGGTTTGAACAGGCATATTCAAGGAATGTAGCTATCCTAAACCAATCATGTCAGCTCTTTGTTTTCCCCTAAGCTGTGTCATGGCTTGTTCTAAAAATACAGAGTTTAAAACAGGTGCGAACCTACAAATCGATGTTTGCCTCACTGACCAAAGAAGGAACATGGAGGACATCCAAGGCAGTGGTGGGTTTCAAATTTTTTTACTACCGGTTCTGTGGGTGTGGCTTGGTGGGCGTGGCAGGGGAAGGATACTGTAAAATCTCCATTCCCATCTCACTCCAGGGGAAGGTTACTGCAAAATCCCCATTTCCTCCCAATCAGCTGGGACTTGGGAGGCAGAGAATAGATGGGGGCGGGGCCAGTCAGAATTTTTACTACCGGTTCTCCGAACTACTCAAAATTTCCGCTACCGGTTCTCCAGAACTGGTCAGAACCTGCTGAAACCCACCTCTGGTGTGATTGTTGCCTTTCATTCTTTTTCCTCTATTTTCCTTATCCCAATAAACATTTTATATCTAGCAATTTGACTTCACTGACTTTTATAAAAAGGATTTCTTATTAACACTTTCCCCTATGCAAAACTCCACAGCTACCCCTTGTGTTTTCAGGATTAAGTTTTGTACTTTTGTAGTTAGGGCATTATATTGTTGTTTTATTTTTCCTAAACCTGAGCTGAAGGAAGAAAAGCTACAGGTACTCAACATAGTTCTCAACTTATGACTGTAATTGAGCCCACAATTATGATTGTAAGTCACACTGGTTGTTAAGTGAGTGATCACATGGCTGGGCCCAATTTTACAACCTTTTTTGCAGTGGTCGTTAAACAAACAGAACTGGCAAATACCACCTCTGGCTGGCCCCAGAGTAGGGTGGGAATGGAGATTTTGCAGTATCCTTCCCCTGGAGTGGGGAGGGAATGGAGATTTTGCAGTAACCTTCCCCTGGAGTAGGGTGGGAATGGAGATTTTGCAGTAACCTTCCCCTGCCATGCCCACCAAGCCGTGTTCACCAAGCCACACCATGTCCATCACAGAACCGGTAGTAAAAAAATGTAGATTTCACCACTGCTTTATAGAGTGGCATTAGTACCTCACTTGATCTTGATTGTATCCCTCTGTTAATGCAATTTAGGATTAAGTGATTCAGCTTGATTGCTGGGGGTCTATCATAAATATCTGAAGAAGCACTCATCAACCAGTGAGGTCTCTCGGATGGTTATTCTCGGTTTTTATCAGAATTACTTCAGTTCTATTGTATTGTAAGCCATCAGTCATGATTTACAATCATACACTAAACTGAAGTCAAACCACCTGAAGTTTGAGCATGATGCATAAAGGCCAAGAAAAGATATAGGAGACTTTCTCTGCTATTTCTATTCTCCGATGTAACCAGGTTTTCTAACAAACAGGTTCTCAACCAAACGTCCCGCCTGGAAATTCAAGTTTTGGAAAATTCCCTGTCTACCAACAAGCTTGAGAAACTTCTTCTTCTGCAGACCCACGAAATCAGCAGACTCCAGGAAAGGAACAGGTTAGTCCTGTTTGGCTTGATGTTTAATTCATCAGGAATAAGTGAAACCCACTTAATCCGAGTATATTTGTGTAATCCTAGTGCGGTTGTGGCATTGTAGAGCCCTGGAGAGGACGGAAATGTTGAGAAGCCATTACAAAAAATGAAAAAGAGCAGGAGCCCCAGAAAAGATGTTATAGTGTTAGAAAGAGACGCAGACTATCTTCTCCCTGACTCACCGGGGTAAAGGAGGGAGAAGAGGAAAATCACAAGCAGTCTTGCCAAGTTCTGTTAATACATCTTTTCTCAGTACAACTGAGTTCTATTCTTCTTCTGGAGTCAGCTTCCTGATCTGAATAATTTTGAAGGGAGGACAAGCATTTTGGTTTCTTGTGGAGAGAGAATTCAGCACCTCTAGACATAGCTGGAGAAAATTTTGTTGGAAAACCTGTCAGTAAAGTTGCCCCTACAACAGGGGTGAAATCCTACCGGTTCAGACCGGTTCGGGCAAACCTCTAGGGATTATTGGCATCAGTTTGCCGAACCGGTAGTAATCACCCCTCGTTGGCCCCACCCACACCTGGCCAGTCACTGATTACCTCTTCCGGCCACTTGATATTCCAGAGAATTCAACGTTAAATGCAGCAGAGAGAATGCTAACCTTTCTCCTTCCATTCAGGACGGAGCTGCTGCAGCCTGTCCCTTTTAAGGTAGTCCCCAGGAGGGAGGGGGCCAGGAGGGAACCATAAAGGGAGCAGCAGCTCCGTTCTGAATGGAGGGAGAAAAGTTAGCATTTTCTCTGCCAAAGAATTCAATGTTAAATGCAGCAGAGAGAATGCTAATTTTTCTCCCTCCATTCAGAACGGAGCTGCTGCAGGCTGTCCCTTTAAGGTAGTCCCCAGGAGGAAGGGGGGGAGAATAGCTGGAATGGAGTTTTTGTGAAAGGCAGGAAAATGGGGAAGGGGATTTTCCTGCCTGTCATCCATTCCTCAATCTCAGCACAGACTGAGGGAAGGATGGTAGGCAGGAATATTCCCCTCCCCATTTTCCTGCCATTCGCGACAAGAAGTGGCTGGGAGGGGAGGGGCTGGTGAGGAGCCCCGCGATGTGAGTGATGTCGAGTTGGCCACACCCACCCAGTCACATGACCTCCCCCCCAACAAGCCACACCCACAGAACCGGTAGGGGAAATTTTTTAATTTCACCACTGCTCTACAGTAAGTCTTTGACTTACTGGGATTCAGCCAGCTCAGGCCGTTTCAGGCGAACCGGTAGTTAAACTACTGGCTGGCTCCGCCTCTCCCCTCCCTGCCCCACCCCTTACAGGAGTCCCCACACTCCCCATTTTTGCTCCCAGGAGGCTGCAGAGAGGCCTACTAGGCCCAAAACGGGGTGCGGGCTGGTGGTGGAGCTGAGTGCTCAGCAGGCTGAGTGCTGCCTGTCAAACCCCTGGCCACGCCCACCCAGCCGGTCATTAGGGCAGAGAACTGGTTGTTAAATTATTTGAATCCCACCCGCTTACAATCCTTCATTTAGCCACCATTAAAAGTTGCAACAACGGCACTGAAAAAATTGAATTACAACAGTCCTCTCGCTTATGACCGTTGCAGCATCCCCACAGTCACATGATCGACATTAACACCTTTGGCAAAGAAAGGTCATAAAATCGGGTGAAACTCATTGAACAACTGTCTTGCTTAGCAACAGAAACTCCCAATTGTAGTTGTAAGTTGAGGACTACCTATACAGGGCAAGACAGACAAATTCAAGAAACGTGTTGAATTTAGAAATGTCTGCATATTAAAAAAAACCAAAAAACCAAAAAAACAGCCATGGCAGTGCCTGTTTTTTATGGTTTGATAAACTCTGCTTATCTTAATTATTAATCAGTGTCCTGAGTTTTCAAAATTCCTTGAACCACAAATTATAAATGTTGTGCAACAGCTTCTCCTACGTTTTTTCTTCACCCAGTTAAGCTTGTTGTGTGAAGACATGAAACTTCACATGGAATTCGTTCCATAATGGAATTCTAGAAGCAGTTGCCCTGAAATGAAGAACTAGATCAGGGGTCTCCAACCTTGGCAACTTTAAGACTTGTGGACTTCAACTCCCAGAGTTCCTCAGCCAGCAAAGCTCTCCATGGAAAACTTCATATATATCGCCCTAAAGTTTAAATATATTGTTGAGCTTTGACCACGAAACAGAATATTCAGCAATCTTTCCCCTGAGATGACAGGGGAATAACAATAAGTGAACATAAAAGTATAATCCAAGATTATAAATCTACAGTAACTCTATTTTTCTAGTGCTGAATTATTTCCTTTGCTCCCCAGCAAGCCTGGTAATTCTTTAGATAATTCTTCTAAATGACAGGTATAGCGTTCAAAAGCGATTTCTCCAAGCAGCAGTGGTCTGCCAAACATTTAACGGTTTTTTAAACATCAAAATAGAATAAGCCCCGATCATGTGAGGGAAGTCAACCTACCCATCCAATTTAACCTACCCATCCTTGGAGTGAACTAAGAGAATAACAGATTTAAAAGGGAATATGAAGGTCATCTAGTCCAACCCCCTGCTCAAGCATGGGATCCTATACCATGGTAGACAAATGGTTGTCCAGTCCTTTCTTAAAAGTTTTCAGTGTTGGAGCACCCACAGCTTCTGAAGGCAAGCTGTTCCATTGGTTGCACTAATGATGTTCGATTCAATTCAAATCTTTATTGTCAGTGCACAACATATGTGCAATGAGATTGGTTGAGCTCCCGCAGTGCACCCCCCACAACACAATACAACTCACAGTGAAGACAGAAAATCCCTAACTCAACAAATCATATTAACAAAACACTCAGTCCTATTGCACCAGTGTGAACATGTTACACATTGCGCCGGCCCTGCAAGTCCATCGTACTACGTAGTTATGATGTTATGTCTCATTCAGGAGTCTGACAGCCCACAGATAGAAACTGTTCTTCAACCTGTTTGTGCGGCTGGCTATGGTTCTGTATCTCCTTCCCGATGGTAGGAGGATAAAGAAGTGATGACCAGGGTGAGAGTTGTCTCTGAGGATTTTCCTCACTCTTCTAAGGCAGCGAGCCCTAGCGGTCTCATCTGTAGTGGTATCAGGGGGCAGGCAGCCCACACTGTTTTGTGCTGTGCTCACCACCCTCTGTAATGTTTTTCTATCTGAGGCTGTCAAACTGGCATGCCATACCATGATGCAATAAGTGAGGACCGCTTTCTATTGTGGACCGGTAAATGTTCTGCCCCAGCTATGGACCCCAAAGAACGCAGTACACACAAAATCCGTTCAAACCTTAGTTTACTAAATAAACCAGTTTTTTTACAACAATGGCTGTTAATTAACTGCATTAACAGCCGCCAAGAATTCAAAGAATAATACTGAAAGCTTACTGTGGTTGGCAGAATGCCCAGAAACAATTTGCAGGAAGCTGATAAGATAAACAAGACAAGACACAAAGGTATGTGAACGAAGTTGTTCCCTGCAAATTGCTTCAGTCAGCGTTCCTCCTTAAATAGGCTAAGGAAGTGGCCTATTAGTCCCAAGCCTTACTCTCGAAGGAGACCTCCTCCTGAGGAGCCACTCCTGCCTTTTGGCAACTCTGCGCACCTGTGCATCGAGAAGAGGCTCCTCCTCTTCGTCCTCTTCACTTAAGGGAGCTTCTGGAGGTTCTGAAGGCCTTGGCTGAATCCCCGCCTCTGGCACCACATCTTCTCCAGCCTCCTCCTTGTTGAACTTGAGTGCCAGCTGCACAGGCTGCTGGCGCTGTCTGAATCCACTACTAGTTGCACAGGCCGCGTACGGGCCACAACAATAAGAGGAGGTTGTCAGTTGTTATTCCACCCTGTTTTTACACAAGACCCTAAGGAAATGGAGTCTCTGTTGGGCCTTCCTGGCTACCTGGATCCTGTTACCTAGTTAAATAATGAAAAGTCTGCAAGAAACCAACCAAGCTCAGAGAACACCAAAGACCTAACAGTTCAACCCTGGGCTACAAATATTCTCTTCTGTTGGTACATAAAGAATTACATCAACTCTGTGTCAGGGTTCCAAGTAACACACCCAATGAAAGAAAACTCCAATAAATAAAGCTACATTTTATTAGAGATGTCATACTGGCACAACTGGAAAAACCCGAATCTGAAAGTTTCCAGGTTTTCCCCACCCAAAGAAAAGTTCAAGTCCCTGCCCAGCACCCACATGTCCATCACATAGTCCAATCAAAGCACCGTCCCAATTGGAGATGCTTCCCAGTTCCAGCCTTCCAGGTGCAGGGCAAGATGTCCTTGAACCTCTGAGAAAGGAATGTTATTATGACTATATCTCACCCATGCTCCATACAATCCCACCTCCCAATTTCCCACAGTAGTAAACGTGGCAGGTCTGAAGGCACAATACAAAAGATGGCTTCCAGGTCTGACACACTGAGTTTGAGAATCAGTATAAATTGTCTCTTTTCTTTAGCTTTCTAGAGAAGAAAGTCTTGGCTATTGAAAACCAACGTGAGGAGGAGCTGCAGGGCCTGAAGACCGAGAAGATGGAAATGCAGAAGCTTCTTTCCAAGCAGGTGGACCTTGTTGGGCATCTGGAGCAACGCCTGGGTGTTGCCTTGCTGAACAACACAGCCCTCCACAAACAACAAACATCTTTGGCAGAGACAGTGAAGCATCTGATAGGCTTGGTGTCCCAGTGCAATCGTAAGTAACTTCCCCTAAGTTTCAAGACTTGGCCAGTTGGCCCAATTGGAATTTAAAGTTTGATGAGAAGAAGCAGGACAATACTACCATCATGTAGAGTGGGTCTTTTTGCAGAAAAATCCATGACAAAGTGGCTAAGAGATCCCCAGTCTTTATAAAATCTAAGCAGTATGTAGCTCTTTCACTTCTTTGGTAAAGGTAAAGGTAAAGGTTCCCCTCGCACAAATGTGCTAGTCGTTCCCGACTCTAGGGGGGCGGTGCTCATCTCCGTTTCAAAGCCGAAGAGCCAGCGCTGTCCGAAGACGTCTCCGTGGTCATGTGGCCGGCATGACTCAATGCCAAAGGCGCACGGAACGCTGTTACCTTCCCACCAAAGGTGGTCCCTGTTTTTCTACTTGCATTTTTTACGGGCTTTCAAACTGCTAGGTTGGCAGAAGCTGGGACTAATAACAGGAGCATGGCCTGTTACATGGCGCTAGGGATTCGAACCGTTGAACTGCCGACCTTTCGATCGACAAGCTCAGCGTCTTAGCCACTGAGCCACCGCATCCCTCTTTGTTAGCACTTCTTAAAATTTAGAGTCCTTAAGCTGTCTGAGCTGAGCTGGGTTTTTTTTTTTTTTTTTCAGATGTTTCATTACCCAAGTAGGTAACATCTTCAGATGGTTGGGTAATGAAACATGCGCAAGAAAACAGTCAAATTCAGAGAACACCAAGGACTTCACAGTTCAACCCTCAGCTATCAATATTCTCTTCTATTCATACTTCCTAAAATCTCTAAATGAGCTCACAAGTTGCAGGTGACATGGGCATTCCAGGAATCAGCAGCCCTAGATAAACAGAGTTTAGGGTTCCATTTCCATAGCATCCCTGGGTCTATTTGAAAAACTGTTTTGCTCCTTGGAAACCTTCCACCTGCTCTGCAAGGTCTCTGGGTATCCCTAACACAGACAGATTTTATTACAGAGAGGATGAATTCAGCCTTACAACAATATAATTGATGCACTGTCAGGCCTGGAAGCCATCTTTTGCATTAGGCCTTCAGACCTGTCACATTTACTACTGTGGGAAACTGGGAGGGGGGATTGTATGGAGCATGGGTGAGATATAGTCATAATAACATTCTTTTCTCAGAGAGTCAAGGACATCTTGCCCTGCACATGGAAGGCTGGAACTGGGAGGCAACTCCAGTTGGGACGGTGCTTAGATTGGACCATGTGATGGATTTGTGGGTGTTGGGCAGGGACTTGAACTTTTCTTTGGGTGGGGAAAACCTGGAAGCTTTCAGATTCGGGTTTTCCCAGATGTGCCAATAGGACATCTCTAATAAAATGGGACTTTGAGGAATTTCAAGCCTTGGAGTTTTCTTTCGTTGGGGGTGTTACTTAGAACCCTGACATGCACATTCCTACCCTAACTGGGCAATTTACTGAAAATGACTTTTGATCTCGCCCCACAGATGTTTCGTTCACCTTGCCAGATGAGCAGAAGGTCTTCAAGGATTGTGCAGCTGCATACAAAGCGGGGGTTTCTACCAGCGGAGTCTACACCCTTCGGGTCCCCAATACTACAGCCACTGTAAAAGTGAGTGTATGTACTAATGAGCTTTGTCCTTCTTCATGCATCAGTTCAGAGGTGAAATCCAGCAGGTTCTGACAGGTTCTAGAGAACCGGCAGTGGAAATTTTGAGCAGTTTGGAGAACCGGCAAATACCACCTCTGGCTAGTCCCAGAGTGGGGTGGAAATGGAGATTTTGCAGTATCCTTCCCCCTGGAGTGGGGAGTGAATGGGGATTTTGCAATATCCTTCCCCTGGAGCGGGGAGGGAATGGGAATTTTGCAGTATCCTTCCCCCAGGAGTGGGGAGGGAATGGGGATTTTGCAATATCTTCCCCTGCAGTGGGGAGGGAATGGGGATTTTGCAGTATCCTTCCCCTGGAGTGGGGAGGAATGGGGATTTTGCAGTATCCTTCCCCCAGGAGTGGGGAGGGAATGGGAATTTTGCAATATCCGTCCCCTGGAGCGGGGAGGGAATGGGAATTTTGCAGTATCCTTTCTCTGCCATGCCTACCAAGCCACACCATGCCCACCAAGCCACGCCCAGAGAACTGGTAGCAAAAAAAATTGGATTTCACCACTGCATCACTTCATACATCAGACTAAGCCACAGTATTCTTAAGCACGATTGGTTGAATGCGTTCTTATGACCAAACGTATGTACAGGTAGTCCTTGACTTATCACCATTCATTTAGCAACCAATTCAAAGTTATAACAGCACTGAAAAAAAGTGACTTACGATTGGTCTTTGCACTTATGACCATCCCAGCATTCCAATGGCCATGTGATGAAAGTTCAGGCACTTGGCAACTGGCATGAACTTACATCAGTTGCAATGTGCTGAAGTCATGTGATCACCACTTGCGATCTTCTGGCAAGCCGGATTAACCCAACCATTGCCTGATTCACACAAGTAGTGATTCATTTAAAAGCCATGGCAAAAAAAATTGTAAAATTGGTCACCACTCACTTAACAATTGCCTCACTTAGCAGCAGAAATTCTGATCCCAACTATAGTCCTAGGTTGAGGTCTACCTATAAAAAGGCTAAGTTACAACGGCTGAGCCCACATGTCACATTAAGCCAGTGTTTCTCAACCTTGGTAGCTTGAAGATGGGTGGACTTCAACTCCCAGAATCCCCCAGCCAGGGATTCTGGGAGTTGAAGTCCACCCATCTTCAAGCTACCAAGGTTGAGAAACACTGCATTAAGCCATCATGTGATCTGTTTAATTTTGGCTTTATGCGAAGAATGAAACCAGGCACAAACCATGATTTAATTTGGTCCATAGTTTATGTTGCTTCACGTACAACCATTAAATGTAAACATCATATTTAAGTTTTAGATAATGTATAGATCCACTCATTATATAAAGCAATAATAGGCAAAACAAGCCTATGAACAATGACATAATCGGTATAATCAATTATAGGAATAATAGGTAATCAAATACTATTAAAAGCTTCCAACTAAGAAATAGGTTTCATCTGATGTCTAGAAGAAAGAAATTTCATAATTTGGGCACTACCACTAAGAACATTACTAAAAACTACATTACGGACGTGAACTACATTACGGTTCAGTGGCTAAGATGCTGAGCTTGTCGATCGAAAGGTCGGCAGTTCAGCGGTTCGAATCCCAAGTGCCGCGTAATGGGGTGAGCTCCCGTTACTTGTCCCAGCTTCTGCCAACCTAAGCACTTCGAAAGCACGTGAAAAATGCAAGTAGAAAAATAGGGACCACTTTTGGTGGGAAGGGAACAGCATTCTGTGCGCCTTTGGCGTTTAGTCCTGCTGGCCATATGACCACGGAGACGTCTTCGGACAGCGCTGACTCTTCGGCTTTGAAACGGAGATGAGCACCGCCCCCTAGAGTCGGGAACGACTAGCACTTACTTACTAAGAACTACACCTGTTTCTGATCCTCCCAAGAATGATGCTAGCACATAATGTAACCAATTGAAAGGGAAAAGGAGATTGTAGTTCGAATTTAAAGACTCACTGTTTTCCACGTTGCTCAACCAGTTGTTTGACCTAATTTGTGGAAACTTCTCTTCCATTGATGTTCTGCCATTCTTCCAGGTGCTGTGTGACATGGAGACCAGTGGAGGAGGCTGGACCGTTATCCAACACCGCAAAGATGGTTCTGTGGATTTCCAACGCACCTGGAATGAATATAAACAGGTAAGAATCGATATAAGTCTGTGACTTAACATGACAGAGGAACTCAGGATGAATTGGATTCAAACTGATTATTTTGCACATTGAAAATGTGATGACCTTTGAACATTTGAAATTAAACTGAAAATTAATTCTGTTTAAATTATGTACAAAGCAATGGATAATTACCTTGAATTATAAATGAATGGGAATAAGATTTACAAAGACAAATAAGTTCAATATATGAGATTGTAATATTTGGTATATTTTTAACTTTAACTATGAATTGTAATATTTAAGGTATTGTTGAAGAGGTATAGAAAATATATATATTTGAAAAAGCAATCGAAAATTGGATTTATATAAAAAAATAATGAGAAATGAGAAATAGAATTATAAATGAATCAAAGTAAGATTTGGAATATTTTTAACCAGGAATTCAGCTAAAGTACTGGAAATCATAATGTATTATGGAAAGTAATTTGGTTTATCGCTTGGAAAAGAAATGAATGATTGCAATGTTATATATCTAAGTGACTTCTAGTAAGATATTGGATTGTAATATTTGGATAAGTTGACAAAGAAAAATATTTGTGATTGGAATAAGGGAATTTAGGGAAATACTGGAAATTATACTATGTTGTGAAAAGGATGTAATGGGGAAATATTTGATTTTAACTCTTAGAAAAATGATTGATTTCAAACTTAAGGGTTTTAACTTGGAGAAAGTAAGGTTAAAATTTAAATTTGATTAAGATTAGAGATTAGGGCGAATGGTAATATTGGTTATTAGAAGAAACAAGGAAAAGAAAAGAAAAATTAGAGAGAAAGATCATTATGGCAAAAAGTGAAATATATAAATTGTGTTGGAGATAACTAAAAATTGATATCTGTTCAGAAAAAAGGCATTGTTTGTTTTGTTTGTTTGTTTGTGTAAAAAATAAAAAAACTTTTACAAAAAGAAAATGAGATGACCTGGAGAAGATTGAGCAAGAAGCATTCTTCCTATTTTCTAGGCACAAGCAGAAAAATCCATCACCTGAATTTCTACTGCAATAGAAATAGGAATAGAGCTCAGTCACAGCAAGTGCTGGATTTTTCTCCAGCTTCTGCAAGGTTGCCAGCTGTTTTCTTGGTCGAAGCTTTTGTGACTTTGAGCCACTAGGGTGGCACTTAAGCCACCAGGGTTTCTTTAGCTCATACATGGAGTGGAGAACTTGTGGCACTGAGATCTTGCAGACTCCAACGTCCAGCGCCTCTTACCTTTAACCATGTTGTCTGGCAAACCCATCCAGCAACATCTGGAAACCAACCAGCTCCTTATCCCAGTGAAGTCTGTGCTAAATATAATTGAGGTGGCTGCTAGACTGATGACAGACTCCATCTCCCCACCCTTGCTCTCTGCTCTCAACCCATCCACCTTTCTGCTTATCATACTGATGTATTATTCTCATTCTGCGCCTTTTGTCGTTAATTATTTTATTTTTCGATTATTTTACTTCTACAGGTAGTCCTCGATTTACGGCCATAATCAAGCCCAACGTTTTTGTGGCTAAGTGAAGCATTTGTTAAGGGAGCTTTGCCCCATTTTACAACACAGTTAGTAACACGGTTGTTAAGTGAATCTGCCTCCCCCACTAACTTTGCTGATCACATGACCCCCAGGGCAGTGGTGGGTTTCAAAAATTTTTACTACCGGTTCTGTGGGTGTGGCTTGGTGGGCGTGGCAGGGGAAAGATACTGTAAAATCTCCATTCCCTCCCCTCTCCAGAGGAAGGTTACTGCAAAATCCCCATTTCCTCCTGATTAGCTGGGACTCGGGAGGCAGAGAATAGATGGGGGCAGGGCCAGTCAGAGGTGGTATTTACCGGTTCTCCGAACTACTCAAAATTTCCGCTACCGGTTCTCCAGAACTGCTCAGAAACCTGCTGAAACCCACCTCTGCCCCAGGGTCATCAATATGAGTCAGTTGCCAAGCTTCCCAATTTTGATCAGGGGGATGTTATAACAGTCGTAAGTGTGAAAAACGGTCCTAAGTCACTTTTTTTTAGTGTCGTAACTTTGAACTGTCACTAAATGAACCATTATAAGTTGAGGGCTACCTGTATTCCTTTCATTTCTCTTCCTGTTTATTATTATAAACCGCCTAGAGTCGCCGTACGGCGAGGTCAGTGGCAAATAAGTAGTTTTTACCCATGGGCTGTCAGACTCCTGAATGCGAAATAACATCATAACTACGTAGTACGAAGGACTTGCAGGGCCGGCGCAACATGAAACATGTTCACAGAGGTGCAATAGGACTGAGTGTTTATTAATATGATTTATTGGGTTAGGGATTTTCTGTTTCCACTGTGAATTGTATTGTATTGGGGGCAGTGGTAAAATCCATTTTTTTTTACTACCGGTTCTGTGGGCGTGGCTTGGTGGGCGTGGCAGGGGAAGGATACTGCAAACTCTCCATTCCCACCCCACTCCAGGGGAAAGATATTGCAAAATCTCCATTCCCACCCCATTCTGGGGCCAGCAGAGGTGGTATTTGCTCCAAACTACTCAAAATTTCCGCCACCGGTTCTTCGAACTGCTCAAAATTTCCGCTACCGGTTCTTTGAACTGCTCAAAATTTCCGCTACTGGTTCTCTAGAACCTGTCAGAACCTGCTGGATTTCACCCGATTGGGGTGTGTGTGTGTGTGTGTGCACTGAGGGAGCTCCACCGATCTCATTGTATGTATGTTGTGCAGTGACAATAAAGGTTATTATTATTATCATAAATTTAATAAACAAGCAAACAAATATTTTCTACCAGACCCTTTTTTTCAATGTCTTCTCATGCTTCCTGACAGGGCTTTGGGTCCCCACCTGGAGAGTACTGGTTAGGCAACCACTTCATCCATTTGCTCACCGCCCAGAACCGCTACTCTCTCCGGATCAAACTCCAAGACTGGGAAAACAATGAAGCTTATTCTGCCTTCGAGCATTTCCAAGTCGGCTCCGAGGAGCAGAACTATCGGTGAGGCTTTTCATGGAACACCTGTGGTCTCTTTGCTTAGCTGTTCATTGAACAAACATCTGGAATCCTGCCCCAACAGATGGATGACCTTCCACTCCTAAAATTTCCCAAGGCCACTGCTGAGAATTCTGGGGGTTGATTGTCCAGTTCTGGGGACAGCACTCCAATTCACACATAGGAAGATCATTTGGGGATCCTGTAAGATTTGGGCCAAAATGTAGTTTTCAAAATCTCTGTAGGATTTTATGTCTGCCCTGTCGGGGTTCTTGATTGTGACCACTCTGATGATAGTGAGCACTGTTTCCAACCCTTGCACAATTCCAATCTCTCTCTCTCTCTCTCCCTCCCTCCCTCCTCCCCCCCCCTCTTGATTTTTACAGGGGTATGTGCAAGTGGTGAAATCCAAATTTTTTTCCTACCGGTCCTGTGGGTGTGGCTTGGTGGGTGTGGCAGGCGAAGGATACTGCAAAATCCCCATTCCCTCCCCACTCCTGGGGGAAGGATATTGCAAAATCCCCATTCCCTCCCCACTCCTGGGGGAAGGATACTGCAAAATCCCCATTCCCTCCCCACTCCAGGGGAAGGATGCTGCAAAATCTCCATTCCCTCCCCACTCCTGGGGGAAGGATACTGCAAAAATCACCATTCCCTCCCCACTCCAGGGGAAGGATACTGCAAAATCTCCATTCCCACCCCAGTCCAGGGGAAGGATACTGCAAAATCCCCATTCCCTCCCCACTCCTGGGGAAAGGATATTGCAAAATCCCCATTCCCTCCCCACTCCTGGGAAAAGGATATTGCAAAATCCCCAGTTCTTCCCCAGTCCTGGGGGAAGGATATTGCAAAATCTTCATTCCCACCCAACTCTGAGGCCAGCCAGAGGTGGTATTTGCCAGTTCTCCAAACTACTCAAAATTTCCACTACTGGTTCGCCAGAACCTGTCAGAACCTGCTAGATTTCACCCCGGATATGTGTCTCAAACTCAGATAGTAGTTGAGAAATTCTTGAATTCGAGACCTTCTTGCTGTTGTTCCACCAACTAATCTGGGTGGAAACCGACATGGAATTTCCCATGCTAGATAGACCAATATTTCCCAACCTGGTACCCTCAGTGCTGGCTGGGACTTGGGACAGTTGCAGTCTCTCATGCCAGGGGAAGTGTGTTGTGTTGGGGGAAGGCTGGTGGAGCCCAACTGCACAAGAGAAGAGTGGGAAAAAGGAGAAGAAATGAACAGCTATCTCTCTTGAGCAGTGTTTCTCAGCCTTCGTAGCTTTGTGATGTGTGGACTTCAAAAAAAGGGCCTGGTGGCTCAGCAGACTGATAGCATTGTGATTAATACCAGCTGTCTGCAATTACTGCAAGTTCGAATCTCACCAGGCTCAAGGTTGACTCAGCCTTCCATCCTTTCTAAGGTAGGTTAAATGAGGACCCAGTTTGTGGGGGCAATAAGCTGACTTTGTATAAATATACAAAAGTATGAAGGCTATTGCTTAACGCATTGTAAGCCGCCCTGAGTCTCCGGAGAAGGGCGGTATATAAATCAAAATTTAAAAAAAATAAAATTCCCAGAATTCCCCAGCCGGTATGAATTCTGGGAGTTGAAGTTCACACATCCTAGAGTTGCCAAAGTTGAGAAACACTGCTTTACAGGTTGATTTCAGTGGCAGCTCCTTGAGTCAGGATCTTACCTGGCTCAAGGAGGAATTTTCTAAAATAAAATGAAATTCTAATCTCCCTCTAACTAGACTTGACGTCCTGCAGAACTGCCTATCTCTGTTCCTTTGCTTTCAGCTGATCAGAAAGGAGAATCATTCCCACACCTCTGGCAGAAGTTAAAACACAAGTTAAACCAGGCTAAGCCCCTCCTTTTTAAAAAGCCCATCTAAGAGGGCAGCTTTCTTGCTCCCAATGGGTACCTCATACTTTATTTTTTAAGGGCCATCTCATTTGTCCATTCATCTGGATTAACCATTCAGGAGTTCCTTTAACTCTTTCACTTTGTTCTATTCACTGAATGTCTCCCAGTTCCTATACAAGCAACAGCAAATACAGACTCTTCTTGATTTCCAATATCTCAGGGGCTGCCACAAAGAAGAGGGAGCCAAGTTATTCTCCAAAGCACCTGAGGGCAGGACAAGAAGCAATGAGTGGAAACTAATCAAGGAGAGAAGCAACCTAGAACTAAGGAGGAATTTCCTGACAGTTAGAACAAATAATAAGTGGAACAACTTGCCTGCAGAAGTTGTGAATGCTCCAACACTGGAAGTTTTTAAGAAGATGTTGGATAACCATTTGCCTGAAGTGGTGTAGGGTTTCATGCATAAGCAGGGGGTTGGACTAGAAGACCTCCAAGGTCCCATCCAACTTCTATTCTATTCTATTCTATTCTATTCTATTCTATTCTATTCTATTCTATTCTATTCTATTCTACTCTACTCTACTCTACTCTACTCTATTCTAATCTATTCTAATCTGTTCTATTCTATTCTATTCTATTCTATTCTATTCTATTCTACTCTACTCTACTCTATTCTAATCTAATCTATTCTATTCTAATCTGTTCTACTCTACTCTACTCTACTCTACTCTACTCTACTCTACTCTACTCTACTCTACTCTATTCTACTCTATTCTATTCTACTCTACTCTATTCTATTCTATTCTGTTCTATTCTGTTCTATTCTATTCTATTCTATTCTACTCTACTCTACTCTACTCTACTCTTGACCAAAACCGAGCCCAAAATTTTGGTTGATAAGCAAGACAAGTGAGTTTTTCCCCATCTTATGACCTTTCTTGCCACAGTTGTTAAATGAATCACTGCAGTTTTTAAGTTAGTAACCCGGTTGTTAACTAAATCTGGGCTTCCCCATTGACTTTGCTTGTCAGGTCGCAAAAGGGGATCACATGACCCTGAGACACTGCAACCATCATAAATATGAGACAGTTGTCAAGGATCTGAATTTTGATCACACAGCCATGGGGATGCTGCAACGGTCGTTAAGTGTGAGCAAAGGTCATAAGTCACTTTTTTTAGTGCTGAAGTTAAGTAGTTATTAAACGAAAGATTGTAAGTCGAGCACAAGATGTAAGCATCTTGTGTTTTGGGTCTGAGAGGAGAATCGAATGGTGAACTACGGTTGATGGTCGCTTCTTTACTCCATCTTCGGCAGACTTTATGCAAGGAGATACAGTGGTACCGCTGGACTCACCAGCAGCCTCAGCCTCTCGGGAACCAACTTCAGCACCAAGGATGCTGACAACGATCGATGCACGTGCAAGTGTGCCCAGATGGCAGGTGGAGGTAAATGAGGGGAGAGCGGGACATCTTCCTTCTGTAGGTCTATCATTCTGAGAAGTAGCCAAGCAGGGCCATTGGTAAAAAAAAAATGGTGCCTGCCACTCTGCAAAGCAAGACTTACAGTAATTTGTCTACTTGCAGGCAGCATCTTGGCATCTAATACATTCCCTCCCTCCCGAATTCACCCTGAATTCAAAGAACTTTCCGAAGTTTTAAGCGGGACAAGCCCTGAAAACTGTAGAATCTCCCGAAGAGCTACAGTATGTGCTACATGTTAAAACAATGCTTAAAATATGTAGTTTGTTCCGTTCTTAATATGAGGGTTTTTAATGGCTTTCAGGGGGAATCAGAAGCTCACACTGAAGGAGCCAGGAGCCCATTTTCAGATCCTATGACCGTGATGGCAAACTTATGGCCATATCAATGGGCACGCGAGCTCAGCTCCGGCTGATTTTCGGGGCTTCTGGGCCCCCCAGAGATAGGGAAACAGGTTGTTTCCTGCCTTGGGCGGGTGGTGGGAAAGGCCCGTTTTTCTCTCTTATCTGGCTCCAGAGCCTTTCTAGGAGTCTGGGGAGGGAGAAAACGGCCTCCCCCCTCCCGGAAGTCCCACCGAAAGTTGGCAAACGGGCTGTTTCTGGCCTCCGGGTTATGGGGAAGGCCGTTTTTGCCCTCCCCAGATTCCTAGAGAGGCTCTGGAGGCTGGGGACAGCAAAAAACAAGCCTTCCGGTCCCACCGGAAGTTGGCAAATGGGCCGTTTCTGACCTCTGCAGGGCCTCCAGGGAGGTGGGGAAGGCCATTTTTGACCTCCCCAGACTCCTAGGAAGGCTCTGGAGCCAGGTGAGAGAGAAAAACGTGCCTACCAGGCCACACGTGCCAGGAGCGGGGAGAGCAGGGGGGGTCGCACACGCATGCGCAGGGGCAGGGTGCATAGAATTATGGGTGTGGGCACGCATGCGCGAGACTGTCCCCCCCGCCCTCCTCCTGGCACACGATGGCAAAAAGGTTAGCCATCACTGTCCTAGAACGTTCTGAGCTTGTCAATCAGAAAGGTCAGCAGTTCAGCGGTTCGAATCCCTAGTATAGGTTTCCTGCGTGAGCAGGGGGTTGGACTAGATGACCTCCAAGGTCCCTTCCAAGTCTGTTACTGTTACCTAGGCCAATAGATTATTAGGCAGAAATCACTAGCAGGTGCTAGTGTGCACATTTTCCCCTCTATTTCTCAGATTATTGCACTGGCTGGCTTTACGTACAACATGAAGCTATAATTTGTTATTTCAGGAAAATACAGTAGCACATTGGGTTGTGTTGGGCTGGGCTGGGTTGGGTTCACCCATCAGCTTAAGTCATAACCATGTTTTATATACCAGGGTTATTAAATCTGTACAACACTCTGTGCCAATGCTGTCCCAAGTCACAGCAGCACAATCAAAATCCTCCCATTTTCCACCTCCGCGTAATAACTGACTCACATACAAAAGGGCTTCAGTCTTATTGTTGCAACTGCCAATTTGAGTTTTTCAGCCTCCTGCGGACGCTTCTTCTGGAAGCCAAACTCAAACACACCATATCTTGGCTTAAAGGTAAAGGTAAAAGTATCCTCGTACATATGTGCTAGTCGTCCCAACTCTAGGGGGCGGTGCTCATCTCCGTTTCAAAGCCCAGAGCCAGCGCTGTCCAAAGACGTCTCCGTGGTCATGTGGCTGGCATGACTCAATGCCAAAGGCGCATGGAACGCTGCTGCCTTCGCACCAAAGGTGGTCCCTATTTTTCTACTTGCATTTTTTAACATGCTTTCGAATTGCTAGGTTGGCAGAAGCTGGGACAAGTAACAGGAACTCACCCCATTATGCGGCACTAGGGATTCGAACTGCTGAACTGCCAACCTTTCAGTCGACAAGCTCAGTGTCTTAGCCACTGAGCCACCGCCTAACTCTTCTGGAAGCCAAACCCAAATACACCATATCATGGCTTAGCAGAGTGTAAACACCCTGTTTGGGTCCTGTCTATCACTTGGAGGAACAAAGCAGCCATCATCCAGCAGATCATGAGGGGCAATGCGTTGCTGCAAATCTTTCCTCCTTTCCTTTATAATTTGCTGCAGAATAGCTGGTCTAAAGAGGGAACTTCCTCCTTATGGCTTGTTAGAAGAACTGGCTACCCCCAAATGGGCTCCTATAGCAACTGTGGAAAAAGGATGATGGTCGGAGGAAGTGTGAGAAGAAGAGATAGGACCTTCTCCCATTTTAAGCAGAACCCACTTCTCCTGCCTCAAATACCGTATGCTTGTGGGGTCCACCAGGGGTGAAATTCAAAATTTTCCCCTACCGGTTCTGTGGGTGTGACTTGGTGGGCGTGGCAGAAGGATACTGCAAAATCTCCATTCCCTCCCCACTCTGGGGCCAGCCAGAGGTGGTATTTGCCGGTTCTCTGAACTACTCAAAATTTCTGCTACCGGTCCTCCAGAACCTGTTAGAACCTGCTGGATTTCACCCATGGGGTGCACCCAACTGAACTCAGGGAGCAGTTGAGAAGTTCTCTGAAGCTTGAATTCCACCTCTTCTCATTGTTGTTCCATCAACTAATTTGGGTGAAAACCAACACTGAATTTCCCATGCTAGATAGACCGCTCTTCCCACCGTCAGTGATGGCTGGGAATCGGGGCAGTTGTAGTCTCACATGCCAAAGAATTGGGTTGGGTTGGAGAAGTCTGGTTCTATTTGCCTATCAACCTACATTTTCTAAACCTACAGAGAGAGGTTCAGTGAGAGAAAGCAATGATGTGATTCAAAACTTGTTTAATCCAAACAATTCTGCAAACGTTTCTTAGAAAGTTGAGAGAACAATCTCTTTTGATGTTTGGGCCAAATACTGTTCATTCTAAATATTTTTCTTTTCTCTCTTTTTTCCCTTCTCTGCCTCCTTCAGGTTGGTGGTTTGATGCCTGTGGACCTTCTAACCTGAATGGCATCTATTACCCTCCCAATCCTGCCACAATCAAATACAATGGCATGAAGTGGCACTACTGGAAAGGGCCCGGACATAGCCTCAAAACAAGCACCATGATGATCCGTCCAGTGGATTTCAGAGAGGAGCAAGGGGGGACGCTGTGATCTGTCACATGGCAGAAGGAGAGGAGGAGACCCCCTTCGGAAGGTCCCCTTTTGGCTTGCACAAAATTGGTAGACGATTGCAAGTCCTTGCCATGAACTAAACTTCTTCTAGGTAGATTTTTTTTTAAAAAAAAAAATCTGCATGGCACACAGTTCATTGTGGAAATTTCACAGGAGATCTGGAAGGTGTTGCTTTTTTTCTTGCTTTCATGGGGTGGGGTGGGGTGGGAAACAATTAGGCCTGAGTTTCTCAACCTTATCAACTTTAAGAGGTGTGGATGACTTCAACTCAGGGGTCAAATCCATCAGGTTCTGACAGGTTCTGGAGAACCGGTAGCGGAAATTTTGAGCAGTTCAGAGAACCGGTAGCAGAAATTTTGAATAGTTTGGAGAACCGGCAAATACTACTTCCGGCTGGCCCCAGAGTGGGTTGGGATGGAGATTTTGCAATATCCTTCCCCCAGGAGTGGGGAGGGAATGGGGGTTTTGCAATATCCTCCCCCCAGGAGTGGGGAAGGAATGGGGATTTTGCAGTATCCTTCCCCTGGAGTTGGGAGGGATCTTGCAGTATCCTTCCCCTGCCACGCCCACCAAGCCACGCCCACCAAGCCCCACCACGCCCACCAAGCCCCACCACGCCCACCAAGCCACGGCCACAGAACCGGTAGTAAAGAAATTTGGATTTCACCACTGCTTCAACTCCCAGAACTCTAAGCTGGCTGAGGAATTCTGGGAGTTGAAGTCCATACCTCTGAAAGTTGTTGACTGTAAGGGAGAGTTAATGGGTGTCCTTAAAGGAAATGATCCTACCCAACCCTTTGTATAATATTTGTTGCCCAAAGATAGTGGTGTGGTTTTGGGCTGCCCTGGAAGGGATCCTGAAATACGATTTGGGGGTGGGGGCTGAACGGGAATTACCTATCCTTGATTTAGGTAGAAAGACTAGGCACAAAACTATAACCCAGGGGTGAAATGCTCCTGGTTCGGACCGGCTCGGGCAAGTAGGTAGCGGTGGCGGTGGGCAGTTCAGAGAACCGGTAGCAAAAATCCCTGCCCCCGCCCCCCATGCCCAGGTGAGCCGCGCGATCATCAGAGGCTTTTTTTTCTTTAAAATGGCTCTGACGAGCCAAGTTCTGACAATCCCAGCTGAGTTGCCTGCTAATCAGGCAACTCAGCTTGGATCACCAGAGCCATGTAAAAAGAAAAAAGCAAAGAAGTGACATTGACTTCGCCACGCCTACCCGTTCATCTTACCACCAAGCCCCACCCACTAATTAAGCCATGCCCACAGAACCGGTAGCAAAAAAATTGAGATTTCACCCCTGCTGTAACCCCATTGATGAAAGGTATTTGGGTGATAAAAGGTATTTGGGAGTTGACATCGACAATGACGTTCTTTGTCTCCCCACCGTTTCTTCTTCTGAATATCTCCAAGCTTGAACCATGTGCCCTAGTATCTCAGAGAGCTGTACATCAGTGGTGGGTTTCAAAATTTTTTACTACAGGTTCTGTGGGTGAGGCTTGGTGGGCGTGGCATGGCTTGGTGGGCGTGGCTTGATGGGCGTAGCAGGGGAAGGATACTGCAAAATTTCCATTCTCTCCCCACTCCTGGGGAAAGAATATTGCAAAATCTCCATTCCCTCCCCAATCCAGGGGAAGGATACAGCAAAATCCCCATTCCCTCCCTTATCAGCTGGGACTCGGGAGGCAGAGAATAGATGGGGGCGGGGCCAGTCAGAATTTTTACTATCGGTTCTCCGAACTACTCAAATTTTCACTACCGGTTCTCCAGAACTGGTCAGAACCTGCTGAAACCCACCTCTGAGCTGTACCTTTTAGCACCAGAATTCAGGAATTCCAAGAAATGGCAGCTTGACCAACAAGGAAACTCTGTGGATGGGCGTCTGTGTGTGTCTGTGTCTCTGCTCAATGCAGGTGTTTCTGTGAGACCTGTGTAACGATGAATCTCAGGGGAAACAGGTACAGGTAGTCCTCAACATACAACCACAATTAGGACAAGAATTTCTGTTGCTCGGCAAGGCGGCCATTAAGTGAATCACACCTGATTTTATGACATTTTGCGCCACTGTTGTTAAGTGGATCGCTGGAGGTGTTCAGCTAATCATGTGGTCATTAAGCAGATCTGACTTCCCCATTGACCTTGCTAGTCAGATGTCAGCTGTGAAGGTTGCAAACCCGTGCCAGTGGCCAAACATCTGAATTTGGATCTTGTAACTATGGAGATGCTGCAATGGTCATAAGTGCGAAGTTGCAAGTCACTTTTTTCAGTGCCCTGGTTACAACAAATGGCGGTTATGCGAATGGCTGTAAATTGAGGACTACCTATATGCAAATTAGCTACCAATTTTCTAGCATATTATATCTGCATCATTGCTCTCTCGGAGCCATTTGTTTACATATTAATTGCTGAGCTCATGAAACCTCTTATGCAAAGTTTCATTGCAAATACTTAGGATATTTTCAACTTTTTTAAAAATAATAATAATAATAATAATAATAATAATAATAATAATAATAATAATACTGGGATTACCGTATTATGGTTCAGACCTCTTGGGATCATTTTAAAATTCAAGTATTTTATCTACAATATGTTTTTTTTAAAACTGTAAAAAAGAAATCGAATAAAACAGCAGTCTGCCTTTTCATAAATATCATTGTGTTCTTGGGACTGAATCATCAAGGGAAGGAAAGGTACAGGGGTGGGGCTGCTGGGGGTTCGCAGGGGCCCGACCACCCCACCCCGCCCCTCCCAGGAGTCCCCACGCGGCCTGTTTTGGATGAAGGTAAGTGCAGGGTGTGCATGGAGGCTCAGGAAGAGTAAAAAACGGGCCTACCGGAAGTTCAGGAAGGCCGGAAATGGACCCATTTCCAGCCTCCGGAGCCTGGGGAGGCCATTTTCGCCCTCCCGGAGGCTCAAAGAAAGCCTCTGGAGCCCGGGGAGGGCAAAAACGCCTCCCCCCCCTGTGGTGCAGGGAGCCGACTAGGCCACACCCACCATGGCCACGCCCACCCAGCAACCAGACAGAGAACCCCTTGCTAAAATTTTTGAAGCCCACCCCTAGAAAGGTATGGAAGGAAAAAAGACATCCTGGGATGAAGTACCCATAAACCTTGGCTGACGTCAGAAAAGCTGATTGGATAAGGAGGCATTTCCATGATTGAAGGCTGGATAGGAAAGGAGAAAAATATCCTAGAAATCTCAAGAGGAAACAACTTGCATATTGCCGCAGAGAAAACAAAATGGAAATGCCTACGTAATCACCAAGACCTGAATCTACAGGTAGTCCTTGACTTACAACCACACTTGGAAACAGAATTTCCATTTCTAAGCAAGGCGTTTGTTAAGTGAGCCATGCCCAATTTTACGACATTTTTCAACATAGTTGTTAAAAGTCCATTTGTTAAGTGAATCATGCAGTCATTCAGCCAATCCAGCTTCCCCGACTGACTTTCCTTGTCAGAAGATGATTGGGAAGGTTACAAATGGCAATCATATGACCCAGGGATGCTGCCATGGTCGTAAGTGTGAGGAACGGTCACAAGTCACTCTTGTCAGTGCCTTTTTTCAGTGCCATTGTAACTCTGCTTGCTAAACAAATGGTTGTAAATTGAAGACTACCTACATTATTTTCTTCTTTACAGACACCATAAAAACATTTGCTTATGTTGAATGATTTGCCTCATTAATCTTATGAATCTGCAAGTATCAACCATGGAAAAGCAACAAAACATATAAAAAGCAGCTTACCTCCCTCTTGCTAAATTTGGAGAAGGATTAGAGAGGTGGGGTGACAGTTGCAGGGTAAATTCTAGATATTTTTGTGGACTTCTGGAGAATTCTGGGAGTTGAAGTCCACAAGTCTTAAAGCTGCCAAGTTTGAAGACCTCTGCTTTAGATGCAGATAGTCCTCAACCTACCATCATAATTGAGCCCACAATTTCCATGAATAAGCAAAAACAGTTGTTAAGTGAGTTGCCTCATTGTATGACCTTTCCTGCCACCGTTGCACTGATGATATTACCTAGTTTGGGTAATGAAACATCTATATAATTACCACCAAATTCAGAGAGCAGCAAGGATCCCTCATTTCAACTTTTGAGCTACAAATATTCTCCTTTATCCATTCAGGGGTTCCCTTTGCTACAGATTCAGGCGATGCTTATTGCTTTTGATTAAAGCAATCAGAATCAAATCAGAACTGAAGAGGAAATAAACAAACGGTAGCTGAAAAAGGCTCATTTCTCCTTCGTTATTACGCATTCCAGATCAGTCTGATGAATTCTACACAATAATCTTTTCCTTTTATCAAGTAACAAGATTTGTATTATAGGTAATGTTGCAAGGGCTGCGCTAAACATCTGCAATTGACTATCCTTGAGTTCCAATGATTGAAATGTTTATATGGGTCTCTCAAGGCAATTTTTACACTATTGCTATTTAAAGTTGTTTATTTTTCTTTTAGAAGGAGTCTGTTAGCCCCTTTTCAAGCTAACAAATTTCACTAAAAAGGCACACATTTCACTGTGTGTGTCACACAACTGACACACACAGTGTCAGTTTAATAATTTGTCCACCCAAGTGAGACCACGAGTTTTTCTCACCAAATGGCTCCCAGAGTGGGCAAGGTTAAGACCAGGGGTGAAATGCTCCCAGTTCGGACCGGATCGCCCGATCTGGTAGCGATGGCAGCGGGTGGTTCAGAGAACCGGTAGCAAAATTCCCTACCCCCCCATGCCCAGCTGAGCAGCGCAATCATCAGAGGCTTTTTTTTTCCTTTTAAAAGCATTTTTTCTACAACCTCTTCAACCAAAAAATGTTTTTAAAAATAAAAAAAAAAGCCTCTAATGATCACGCGGCTCAGAGGTTGTAGGGAAAAAAAATGCTTTTAAAAGCCTCTGACTATCCCAGCTGAGTTGCCTGATCGTCAGAGGCTTTTAAAAGCATTTTTTCTGCAACCTTTTAAGGTTGTAGAAAAAATGCTTTTAAAAGTTAAAAAAAAGTTGGCCACGCCCACCCAATCACATTACCACCACCCCCCACCAAGCCATGCCCACAGAACCGGTAGTAAAAAATTTACATTTCACCACTGGTTAAGAC